ATTGCAAAATTTATTAATTAGTTTTTTATTTAAATATATTTATTTTGTTTTTGTTGTTTTTTTTAAAAAAAATCAATTTTTTTTTAAGTATATATTATTTGTTTTACGTATTTTTTTTAAAAAAAAAATTTTATTAATAAAATTAATAAATTTTTATTTTTAAAGATTTAAAATGTTGTTTATATATAATTATTATTATGTTCAATGTACTACTTATTTAAATAATATTATATCTCTAAGACAAAAACTTCATAATACAAAAATAGTTAAAGAGTGAGCAAAATTGAAAAAGCAAATTAAAAATAATAAAATTTAACTAGAAAAACTTAAAAAACAAAAACAAAAATTTTTTAAAAAAAATAAAAATTTAAAAAAAGAACTAACAAGTAATTATTTACAAATAATATAAAATGCATCTATGGTGTTTATGGTGTTAATAAGTTTTTGACTAAAATTTAGGGTTAGGGTGCAACTTTAGAGTAAGATAGGGGTTAGATATAAAAGTCCAAATTTTAGTTAACATAAGGTTTTTGGGGGTTCTGAATATTTTTACTTAGTACCCCTGAGAGGTGTTAGCTAGTATATTTTTGAGATATAGCCAATTATGGTATTCAACACTATAGGTGCAGATTAGTAGCATTGATTATTTAATTATTTAATTATTTATTTAATAGCTGAAAAAAAGAAGTATCAAGAAGCAAAAAAAATCACTAATACCAAAAAGAAAAAAAAAAATATTAAAAGAACAAAAAGTTGAATTAAAAAAAGAAAAAGAAAAACAGAAAAAAATGTATAATAATTTAAAAATAGAAAATGATAAAGATAAAGAAAAAATTAAAAAATTACAAAAAACACTTGCAACAAAGGAAATAGAAATAGAAGATTTAAAAAAAGATAAAGAAAGATATAAACTAGAAACAAAAACTTGGAAAGATCTTTATGATAAAGCTAAAGATGAAAAAGAAAGGTATTACTAATCATAGTGATTATGATCAAATTAAAAAAGAATTAAAAAAAATTACTAAAGAATGTAATGATTATAAAAGAAATTTAAGAAAAAGTGAAGAAGAAAAAAGAAAAATTAATCTTGAAATTCAAAAAAATGTTCTTACAATTATTACTTTAGTAAAAAAATTTCTTCCATATTTAATGAGACAAATAATTGCACAATTTGAAAAATTAGCAGAATCTGGCAACCAAAAAATGTATAATATAATTATTGAAAATGTAAATGAATTAGACGTAGCAGTATAATTTTCTTTTATTTTTATTTTTTTATTTTATTTTATTTTTATTTTTATTTTTTTTATTTTTATTTTTATTTGTTTTTATTTTTATTTTTTTTTATAAATAAAAAAATATATAAATAACATTTCTTTTTTTTTTTAAAAAAATAAATATCGAATTTTCTTTTGTATATCACCTATTTGAATTTTAATATTTGCTGCTTTTTAATAATAATCTCGCTTTGTATACTTCTTTATAAATCTAACAAATTAATTAAAATACTTTTAACTTTAAAACAACTTTTGACATTTGTAACAACAAATATTAAACTTATAATCTTGAAGCTTATATGCTTATTGATAATTAAAACTGGCGCCAAAAAACAACCACCAACCAAAAAGAAAACTAAACCAAAAACAACAATTAAAACAACAAAAAAAATATCCAAACTATCTATAAAAAAAACAACTAAAATATTACAAAAAAAGAAATCACAAGTCAAATTTGGTTCTTGTTGTAATAAAAATATATTATAAACAAAAATGTCTAATAAACGAAGATATAAAATTACTGGTGATAGTAAAAAAAACCTTGTGTAATCGGAACATGCAGTGTTGGTGATGAAGGTGCTTACAATGCATGTCAAGTTAAAAGATCTTCCAGATCAAAAGTTGATAGAATAAATTTTTATAATGATACTGTATATAAACATGTATAGTTTTAGAAATTATTTCAACAAGAAAGATCTAAATATAACAAACTTATATTATCAGATATTGCAATTTGTTTAGTTTTCACATCAGTTCATACTAGACAAATTGGAAATTTACTTGGAATTGCACCATTAGAAGAAATTGGTAATATAGTTTTTGGCGATCTTACTAGTCAACAATGGGTAGATCATTATAAAATTTCTGTTGCTGAGGTGCTACCTTACTGACTCTTTTGCTTTCAAAAATGGGATTAAATTTTTATATTGTTAGAATTTGTGATAAAGATTTAGCAAAAAAAACACAAAATGATATAACACTAGCAGATATTCTTGTAAACCCTGAAAATTTAGAAAATTCAGAATTAAAAGATTATTTTGATATTTTGGCAACATACTATAGAGAAATTTCTTGTGATAATACAGGATGTTTATTAAAAGATTAGAATTTTTATATGTGTTATCAGGTTGTATACTTTCTGAAAAAGATGAAATAGATCAAAATATATTTGATACAGCAAATTTTGCATTAATTATGGTGGTTGATTATATGCAAAGATTTTTCAAAACTAGAAGAAAACGTACCAAATACCACCACCAGATCCACAAAATCAACAAGATCTTAGATATCTTACAGATACACTAAGTTATTATTTAGGGAAAAAATTTTCACTTCCAGCAGGACAAAGTGGTTTACCAGTATATATTAGTGATAGAGAAATTGAAATAGCATATAGATATAATGCTACTATTGAAAATGCATTAGATTTAGCACAAATAATTGTGCAGCAATTACAACAAGGTCAAAATGGTAATGGAGGAAATCTGATAGAAAAAGATGAACCAGAAGAGGCAGAAATTTAATTTAATTTTTTTAATATAAATATAGGAGTTTTCTTTTTTTTTATTTTTTAATTTTTATTTTATTCAAAATACCTTGTAAATGCAAATATTTGAAGATTGTTGTTATCATTATCCTGAATCAATTGATAATAAAAAACCAAATGTTGATAAATACATATTACTATTATTATGGCCCTTGAGCAAGTATTAATACAATATTATTCAAATCAATAAACAAATCAAGACCAAAACCAAAAACAAACTGAAGATAAACTAGACCTACCAAAACAAGATGAAGATGTAGAAATGGATGATCCTCAAGCAAAACAACCTAAACAAACTCCTCTACCTATAATTAATAATTTATTTGATCAATTAAAAAAAAAATTGAAAAAACCCAAAGACCTGATGCAATAAAATTAATTGATAATGGAAATTTAAATCAAAGAATAAATAATTCGAAATTATTGCCAAATTTAATTGATGATTTACAAAATTAAGAATATCAAGATTAGATAAATTATGTCTTGAACAATATGGTTATTATACTGATTTAAAAGATAAAACAGAAGAAATTTCAACTTTGAATAATTTATTTGATACTATCAACAATGATAAGATTTTAATGACCATACAAATATCAACTTTATTAAAAAGTATAAATGATAAAATTTTCAAAATTAATCAAAAAAAAGAATATAATTCGATCAAAAATAGAATAATTAAAGAAAAAAACTCAATACGATTAGAAAATATTTGAAAAGATACTATTGATGATGCTAAATACCTTGATGATAAACAAAAAGATGAATTACACAAACTTAAAAATACTCAAAAATGGGAAATTCAAGGTTCAAAAAAATTTAAACAATATAAAATAGAAATTGAAAATGAAGGATTTATTTCAAATTTATTCGATAGAAAATCATTTGATATTTTAATAACAAATGATTCTTTATTAATAAACCAACAAAAAAATCAACTTCATATATTAAGAAAATAAAGAATTCAAATCTTAATGGATAAAGTATTTGATAAGCTTAAAAATAATATAAAAAAATGAACAAGTTCCAAGTAAACTAGAAGATAAAGAATATTATGATAATAGAATTAATAAGATTCGTGAAGAATTCTTAACAAATAATTGAAAATTAAAAGATCTACATATTCTTAGAAGATGAAAATTAGTTTCAATTCAAAGTAAAACAGAAGATGAAATATATGATATTACTTTTGAATTAATTGATAGTTTTCAGGATTTAAATAAACTTAATGATAACTCAGAACTTGCTGAAGATATTTTAAAATTAAATGAAACACTACTTACTGAAAATAGAAAAATCAATAATTTAATAACTAAGGTAAATATGCCTAATTTGGTGCAGTGTTTAATTCGGTGCACTAACAATATCTTACGAACTGTTGATTAGAATCATGTAATTTTGGTACCATTCGATTCGTCTCATTGAGACGAATCGAATGAT